ATGTCTTTTGCAGCAACTTTGATGGAGTTGGATGCCATTATTCTGAGTGAAGTAATTCAGGAATGGAAAACCAAATACTGTATGTTCTCACTTATAAGTGGGAGCTACGCTGTGGGTACACAAAGGCAGACAAGGTAGTAGAATGGACTTTGAAGACTCAGAAGGGGCAGAGTGGGAAGGGAGTGAGGGATAAAAAGTTACCTATTGGGTGTAATGTACACTACTTGGGTGACACGTGCACTAAAATATCTGATTTTACTTCTATACAATTAATTCATGTAACCAAAAATCACGTGTATTCCAAAGTCTATTGATTGTTTTAAAAACATTAATAAAATAAAAGATGTAAAAAAAGAAATTTATATATACTCATTTATTAAGCTCCCACAATTAACGTTAGGAGGTAAGTACTTCATAATTGGTAGTATACTTATCTTTTATTAAATAATTGTATTACTTAGGAAGTTTAGGGGTGGGGAGAAGTAGCAAGGTACTATGATTCGGGGCAGATAACTAACCTTTATTTATTGGCACATACAGTTTGGAGCACGAGACACTAGCCAAGGTCCGTCCTCCTCACCTAATCAAAGATGAAATATGTGGGATGAAGTAATCAGCAGCCCAAGCTGAGTTTGCAGACCTAAGTATAAAGCAACAATGGATATGTCAGAAGGCTCCTAGGGTGTTATTTATTTAAATCTATTTCATGGAATTGACTACCACCTTAATGGCCCGAAAGTGTTAAAGTATGTCCCAGAGTACTGAATTACTCCCTAAATGTAATTTATGCTTGAGAATAATCTGACTAACTTGATTTAGAACAGCAGGAAATAAGTTATGCTGCACATAAATGAAGCAGCAGTGTAATTTTAAATACCAGTTGCATAGTGAATGAGAATTTTAATATTTGCAAAATTCTAAAATCACTTGATTTATTATCCATATGTTTATACTGACATTTTTTGCCCTTTATTAAGTTCCATCTATATTTCTTCTTACTGCCAAGAAAAAAAACTTTTTTCCTAGAAATATTACAGAAGGCAAAAATTATATTTGTTTCCCTGAATGCTATTTTTGATGTCTCTACTTGTTTCTAGTTGTTACCATTTTCTTCATTTGTGGGCAGTCCAATTAATGGAGCAAGAAAAATTTAGAGAGGACAGTGACTAATTAGATATTAAATTTATAAATCTAACATTGTAAAACCAGAAAAAAATATTTTTTTTTCATTTGGAAGTTTCCTTGGTGGAAAAGAGTTTAAGTTTATAAGTAGTCATGATAAAAAATGTAATTTTACATAGTAAATTCAAGAACATATTAAATTCAGCACATATTAAATACTGAAAAGTGTATTTTAAAATTTTATGTGAGGCTTGAAATGGAGTTTAAAGTATTATTACTCACATTAAATGTCATCACATGTAAAGCCCATGATTTTATTCTTTAATATTTTGTTTGAATAGTTACTTATTTCAACAGTAACTTCAATAATAAAATTAAATCAACTTTACAGTTTTCAAAGGTTTAGCAGTTGCATCCTGTAATAAATACTTCATATTTATATATTTATAAAGCAACACCGTAAGTCATTTTTATTAGGTCCTTGAGGATGCAAAAGTTTGGATTATATGAGGAGACAAGAGAAAAAGGGAAGAAGGGTATTTCAGAAATATGCTATTGATACGCAAATTCACAAGTCCTAAGGCAGAAGCAGGGGTCGGGCAGGAAGTCCATCCTGCCTCCCTCTTGTGGGCCTGCAACAATGATGTAAATGGAAGGCCTGTTCCCCTTCTCTTCCTACCTCCAGCTCTGTCTTACAGAGCTATGGGTACCATGATCAAGTATATGAACCCTTATAGTTTTCTTCTCTGGGAGAATGTAAAGGAAAGATAACTTGTAGAAAGGAAAAGAATTCAGGGTGAGAGGGGGATTTGTTGAATTTGGTAGAGGATGGCAACTATCAATATGATGAGTGATTGAGAAACAAGTCTGTGCAACAGGTTTGAAATTGAAAATCTTTAAGGTATACAGGATCCTGAAATGAAGAATGGGCATTTATAGCAGTATGTTGGAGAAACAGTCACCTCCTAGTAGCTAAAAGTGTTGGCAAAAGTATAGTTCAAGTGATTGGGTAGGAAAAACAGCAAACCAAGAGTGGGGACTGATGGTTGCTACAAAGGTGGAGTGGTAAGTCATGACCAACTGGTGCTTCTCTGTGCTCTGGTTAGCTGCTGACTGTTTCTCAGACTGTGGTAGCAGGAGGAGGGTTGGAGTTAGCAGTCATTAGCATATGAGACTGCCATTTAAAAAAATTTTTATTCTATTTTTCTGACTTAAAATATGAAAAGCACACTGTAGACAAATTGAAAAATATAGAAAAATCATGAGGTCAGGAGATAGAGACCAACCTGGCTAACACGGTGAAACCCCGTCTCTACTAAAAATAAAGAAAATTAACTGGGCATGATGGTGGGCACCTGTAGTCCCAGCTACTCGGGAGGCTGAGGTAGCAGAATGGTGTGAACCCAAATCACACCACTGCACTCCAGCCTGGGTGACAGTGCGAGACTCCATCTCAAAAAAAAAAAAAAAAAGTATATAATAAAATTAAAATATATATAGTCTCACCAGTATGGAACAATGCTACCTATGTTGCATAGTTTTTTTAGATTCCCATTCAAAAGCAACTCTTTGACTCCCGTGATGCAAATACATGTGCAGTTCGTTTTTAAAGGGAATAAACTCTTAAGATATATTGATAGGTCATTTATTGTATGTTATATACCACTGAAAATACGTGAATGCTAAATCATTACTAAACATGCAAAAATATTCCTAGGATCATTTTGTTGTGGAAGGATATAATGTATCTGAATAACTCTAGAATACCATTAATTATCAAAGGCAACATTCTTACTTTTCACTAACTGTAGTTAGAGAATAGCTCTTTGGTTACCTTCGGTTGCCTTTTTTATGCTACCAAAATGCTGTCTGTTTTACGTGATTTTAAAGGTTAAGCATATAATTATTCATTAAATACAATGTCTGAAAGAATGCAATGTACATGTAGATACATTCTTAAATTTTAGGTAGTTAATAAAAATAAGGGGAAAAAGACTCTAGAACTATCACTTTCAATTGTTTAACTGATAAGGTGAAACTTCATCTTGGAAAAATAAAATATTTCACAGGAGAGCATGTGCAGTGGTAGAAAGGTGCCATTGAAACAAGAGATATTCGGGTTAGAAGCCTCTCTCTACTACTATTTAATACCATTTTCACCTTTCGGCAAATTACTTGGCCTCTGTTTTCTCCAATGGAAAATGGGAATAATAATTGCTATGCTGCAGGGTTATTGTAGGTGTCAATGAAATGATATGCCTGACACTGTAAAAGCACAGAGCCCGGTGCCTGGCTATTAGTAATTGTTTCATAAATGTTAATTCATTTCTCTGCCCAGTACATCAGTAGGCAGATGTAGCAATTTTAAAATTCTAGTGTTACTTTAAATTCCTGAATGAAGGTAGAGGACTGTAAAGATATCATGATATTCAAAAGTATGATCCATTGCTTCTTAAGAATAGAGTTCAGAAAAGCTTGACAGATTCCTGTACTCTGAGGCAGCACCATAGCCAGTAATCTTTAGGATGGCTTTTGGTTTAGTGCTCACAAATGCTTGCTTGAACAGGCCCCAGGAGATCTGGTAGACTGTAAGTCCAATAAGATTTCAAATCTTACTTTATAGCAGTGTTTTTCACCTTGACTGTGCATTGAAATCACCTAGATGCTTTGAAAAATAACAATGTCAGCATCCAACCTCCAGAAATACTGATTAAGTTGATCTGGAGTGGAGCCCCAGGGTCACTGTTTGGTTATTGTTGTTGCTGTTTTTTTAAATGCCCCGGTTGATTCTTATGTGCAACTGTCTTAGGTAAACATAAAGCCCTGGTTCATATTATTTCTGCCTCAGTCTCTTTTATGATTGGAAAGTGACCAATGCTTGCTTCCTAATATTCTTTCCATGTGCGATGTTAACACATTTGACTTGTACTAAGTTCCTGCAGTATTCCAATCCAAAATTTTAGTGGATATAATAAAATAAGTAGGATTCAAGAAGGCATCACATAGTTTAGTTTATCAGTTAGTGAAATGCTTACATCTGAGCCTACAATATGAATTACATCTGTCATCTTATTTTAAATATTGACAGAATCTTTAATGATAGTGATGAATTATTGATTTATTGGTGTGATAATGGTATTTTAGTTATATTTTTAAGTTTTATTTGTAATAACTATATGTATTTATGGGGTGAGTGTGATGTTTCAGTGTAATGTTTCATTGCGTCATGATCAAATCAGGTTACTTAACATATCCATAACCTCGAACATTTATAATTTCTCTGTGGTGAGAACATTTAAAATTCTCTTTCACTATTTTGAAATATACAGTACAATATTGTTAACTTTGTTCATCTTACTATGCAGTAGAACACTAGAACTTATTACTCCTTTCAATTGATGAATAGATAGTTTTGGATCAAGAATAATATTGAAAGTGATAGAATTTATGAAGTAATTTAATTTGTATCCAAACATATTTTGAAATTGAATATATTGCTTCCAAATAATTTATTACAATGTTAAGATATTTGTAAATTTCTAGAATTTAAAAATATATATATTCTTAGGAAAGGAAATGCTAATCGTCCAAAATAGTTTCTTTACCTTTCTTTTAATCAAGAAATATATTCACTTTAAACGGAAAAATTGCAACCTTCAGTTTAAAATCATCTTTTTTATTGAGCATGTTTAAAAAATTTTGTGGGTACATGTTAGGTGTATCTATTAATTTTTATTTGTTAATTGGAACTAAACTCTACAAATGCCAGAAACTATCAGAATATCTTTGTCAGTATAACCAAAAAATATATGCTGTATCTCTACAATCTGTTTTATATCATCCATTTATTTTTCTTGATCCGCATTTTTTACCTGCAGGCGATTTGACAGATCTGTTGAGAAATGGCGGCGTTTTCATTATGATATAAAGATATTTAATCAGTGGCTAACAGAAGCTGAACAGTTCCTCAGAAAGACGCAAATTCCTGAGAATTGGGAGCATGCTAAATACAAATGGTATCTTAAGGTAAGTTTTTGATTTTTTTTTTTTTTTTTTCTAAATTGTGTTTATCTTCATCACATCTGGACTGTTTAATTTCTTTAAGTTCAGGTTGTGAAGGATGATGGAAATGACCACTTTTGACTTTTGTTGTCATCATTATACATACTAGAAAGAAAATTATAATGGTAATATTAGAGAACTGTGCTGTGGACTTTTTGTGTCAGGATGAGAGCGTTTGCCTGGACAGGACTGGTTTATCTGATAAACTGCAAAATAGAATTGAATCTGTGACAAAAGGGAGCATCGTAACAGCAAGGTGTTTTGTGGCTCTGGGGCAGTGTGTATTTTTGCCGTATGTTGGAACCATTCCAGAAGGAGAACTTGTGGCATACTTAGCTATACTGAAGTTGCTAGAAATATCCATCATGATAAAATTACAGTTCTGTTTCCCTAAAGACAATTTGTAGTGATACTGCCATATTTCTATATATTCTATTGACAGAATGCCTTTTGAAATAGTCCAGAGGCCAAAACAATGCAGAGTTAATTGGTGGTACTTATTGACTTTTTTATGGTTTATGTTAATAGAGAAGCAACAAACGGATGATAACCAGTGTATAGTTTAATTTCAACTTGTTGTGTCCTTTGAATATGCAGGTAAAGATAGATTAGATTGTCAAGGATATAATTTGGTTCCTAAAATATATAGTTTAGGCATAAGAAACATTGTGTTTATTACACAAAGGCTTAATTATGTTTGCATCTTTTTTTAGCTCAAATTGTTCATGTTGCAGTAGTCAATCAAGTGGATTTGAATTGTAGCCAATTTTTAATGCCAGAAAATACTGATTAAGACAGATGAGGGCAAAAAACACTCAGTAGTTTATTAAATAGTTTAGATATTTCAAAATGCTGGATTCACAAAAGCAATATCACATTTGACTTTACAGTCTTCATTCTCAAATATGTTTCTATAGTGAACATGCCTTTTGATATTAAGGAGTTAAGCATTTAAATGCCTATGTATATGATAAGCTCTTTAAACACAGAAAATGAATATTTTAAAAATCTTGTGTAATCATATATATATCAATCAAACTTGTATGCACACCAGCATTGGCATTTGTATAGAGAGGAAATGTATGGATTCTCAATCTGCTTTAATATAGAAGATACATTTTAAAAATAGCACTGAAGTGAATTTTGGGCTAATGCAGCATAATGGGGTCTCTGCCTGACAGGCAGAAATATATTAGAGTTATATAAAATGTTTTGGGGGAGATATAGAAACTACTTGCCATTTTCAATGATATCCAACCCATGGTAGTTATATATTTTAATTTATATTTTATTATAAAATTAGTACTTACTGTGAAAAAAATCAAGCAACATAGAAATGTATAAAAGAAGTACCTCCATTCTACTCTTTGGAGGATAGTTATTCCGTATGGATTTTGGTACATATTTCAGGTTGGGTTTCTTGGAAAGCCATTGTAAAATGGAGATTTGTATGTAGAAGGTTTATTAGGGAGTACTTTTACGATCAAGCAATTTGTTTTGTCGTAACTTGGTGTAGTCCACAGTTTTCTTCATGTTCCTTGTTCTTGAAGTCAGTTAAGCTCTTGAATCTGTGTATTTAACATTTCATCAAATTTAGAAAGCTTTCAGCCATTTTTTTTTTAAATGGGACTCCAATTGTACATTTATTAGGCTCCTGAAAACTGCCCCCACTACTCACTGATGTTATGTTCATTTTCTTTTTAGTCTTGTTTCTCTGTAATTCATTTTATATAATCTCTATTGTCAAATAGACTCATCTTTTTCAAAGTCTAATCTATGGCTAATCCCATGTAGTATATATTTTTAACATCAGATATTTTCATTTCTTAGAAGTATAATTTGGGTCTTTTTTATTTCTTCCATGTGTCTACTCAACATGTTCAGTCTTTACTTTCTTGATTATATGGAATACAGATATAATAACTGTTAGAATATTCTTCTCTACTAATTTTATCATCTGTGTCTATTCTGGGTTAATTTAAATGGATGTATTTTTCTCCTCATTAAGGGTGTTATTTTACTGCTTCTTTGGATGACTGGTAATTTTTGATTATATGCCAGACATTGTGAATTTTAACTTATTGGGTGCTTGATACTTCAAATAAATTCAAATATATTGAAATAAATATTCTTAACCCTTGTTCTGGAACCCAGTTAATTTACTTGGAAACAATTGATCTTTTGATAATCTTCCTTTTATGCTTTGTTAGTTATGACCAGAACAGTGTAAGTTTAGGGCTACTTTTTCCCCGCTACTGAGGCAAAACCCTTCTGAGTACTCTCTTTGATGCCCTGTGAATGATAAAATTTTTCACTGGAGCTTGTGGGAACAGGTGGTATTCTTAGCCACATGTGAGCTCTGGTGATTGTTCCCTTTAATTCTCTTGTGTAGTTCTTTCCTTAGCTTTGAGTGGTTTTCTCACATATATGAACTGATCAAGACTCAGCTGAAGAATAAAATAAAGCTTTCTGCAAATGTCTAAAATGTCCTCTGCATGTGTATGACCTCTCTGGTATTTTGCCCTGTGATCACTAGTCAACCTTGGGCTGCTGAAACTCTCAGCTTCATCTTTTAACAAAAGCCTCCTTGCAGGAACCACTGTCCTTCAATGTCTGATGTTCAGTATGTTGAAAACCATTGTAGCATATGTTTTGTCTTTTTTCTTTTTTTAAGTGTTTTAGCCAGGAGGATAAGTACAGCCTTTTTTACTCCAACTTGGAAACAAGTCCAAAACAAACTATTTTGATGTAATTTGATCTTTTAATACATTAACATTATACAATTTTGTGAATATATCATAACTTTAAGTTTCCACAGACTGTCTAATGGTCCTCATTTCTTGACAGTGTGGCTTAGTTGCAATTTATGAACATTTTATCAGAACTTTTTCCCTCAATTGGATAATTTTTTTTTTTTTTTGAGATGGAGATTTGCTCTTGTCGCCCAGGCTGGAGTGCAGTGGCAGGACCTCAGCTCACTGCAACTTCTGCCTCCAGGCTTCAAGCGATTCTCCTGCCTTGGCCTCCCGAGTAGCTAGGATTACAGGTGCCCGCCACCACGCCTGGCTAATTTGTGTATTTTTAGTAGAGACGGGGTTTCACCATGTTGGTCAGGCTGGTCTAGATCTCCGACCTCAGGTGATCTGCCCATCTCAACCTCCCAAAGTGCTGGGATTACAGACATGAGCCACCATGCCCGGCCAATTGGATAATCTTAAAAAGACTATTTTATTTAGTCTATTTTTTTCTCAATCTGTAGATGAAATAAGAAAAATCATTCTAGATGTCCAAGGAAAAATTCTTTCAGAAAAGAGCTGTGAATGACATCACAAATCCCCCAAACAGTTAAGGTATTTCTTTCCTGGTTATTTTATGTCCAAAATCATGCATATGAACATGTGCACACACACATGCACACACAAGAGTGTGCACACACATGAATACATATACACGTACATAATATACCTTAGGTTATCTTTCCATTCTGAGTAATTATCTTAAAATGGGTAAAATAAACCCTGTAAGATACCTTCATCGATAAGGCAAATCAAAGCTTTGGTAATTTCAGCTATCTTGACCATTGTTGATTGACTAATAACGAATAGGAGAATGAGTTTAAATATTTACTATGAAATTATTTTAGAAAACAGGATGTAGACAGTGGCTGTTAGCAGACAATTGTTTGGCATGAGCCAGTAATGGTTACTGTGAAAAAAGTGAACCAAGCAGCCCATATATTAAACAAACACACTCAGAAACATGTTGGAATTTGAAGCCTCATATGTACAATTTTCAGTAAAGAAATAATTTTTAGACATGAAATACAACATAGGGGTATGTTGTAAACTTGTCCCTATATATTTTGATCAAATTGCATCTTTTCTTTTTCACTTTAAAAAAGAGAATTTAGTGCTTTAACTGAGGCTTAGTGTTGTCATTCAAAATGTACTGACTGCCAATAGCAGCAGAAAGATAATCTGGTTCCATGCAACTCTTTTTTTTTTCCCTCTGTCACGAGTAAAAGACAAAATTAAATATATGAATTAGTGCTTTTTGAAGATATTCCAAAGCAATATACCATGCCACTATGGAGAACCTCTCTAAAAATACCACATTGTTTTTCTGAGAAAAATATCAATCATGTTATATGCCACTCAAAATGGTTTATTAATAAATTCATTGAATGATATCAGTATCTCTTAATGCATTCACTAAACAAGCAGTAATTGAGTGCATATACAAAGTTTTATCATCCACCAAAATAGTGATAATCCACATTAGGCTCTAATAGAAGTTTAGCAGAGGGGTTAAGAGGTTAAATGCTGGACTCAGAAAGATTGGATTCAAATCCCACGTTCTTTAGCTTAATAATTGTAGAATCTTGTGAAAATATCTTAATTCTTTTCATGTCTCTGAAATCTTTTCTCTAAAATGGAAATATAAATGAGATGTGTACAAAACCACTTGGAATAGCATTTTTCACAAAATAATTGCTCATTAAATGTAAACCCCTATTGTTACTAATCACTCTTTATAGGTGATTAGTTCATTTCAATACAAACTAAAACTTATTTACTGAATTATTATCTCTAAACATCCACAATGCAGAAAAACCAACCTGGGAATTTCATAAAACCTTATTTTTATGTAGTAGAATTTCTTCTCAAAGCATAGCTCTTGGATTAGGAATTGAGGAAAATTCCAATTCAGCCAAATGCATCTGTTTCAGATAGCTGACACTTCTGCCTACTCATTTCCTAACTAACAAGAAGAAATGTTAATGGGAGTTTTCAAAGGAAAAGCTGAACACCATGAAGGAAAGTGACACAAATAATGTTAGCTCATATAGTGACAGGGTGAATTTGTGTGCTTTCAAGTACCTTCAGTGAAAATAGGAAAGTAGAAGTTATAAAATGCCCTAACATTTAAATCTAGCATGTTCTTGTAGACTAGGAAAAAATAAG